GGAAAGAGTAAATAGAAATTGGAATAATATTACACTCTGGAGACTGCATATATAAAATAAATCAACAAAATGTTCGATATTTTAAATTCGATGTAGGATATAATTAATTTGGAAAAAAGCCTGGTTGATTAATTAATTGCACGCTGAAATTGAAACAGATTTTTAAAATTGCTATTATCATATATATTGCTATTACATTCTAGTGTAGTTGGAAATTACGGATAATTGATCGTTTTATTGGTAACTCATGTTAAAACTAATTATTATTAATTTAATATGATTCGTAAATATTTTTTGTTATTTTATAAACCCTTACATAACTTCTCAACTCCATCGATACTCTATTGAATTTTAAAATTGACAATGACAGATTGAATTTTCTTTATTTAAAATAGACTTTATTTTACGGATTAATCGATAAATAACAATAAAATCTATCGATAAGCTTAGAATATGTATGAAATAAAATGCTGGTGAATGAACATTTATTATTAATTTTCATGAAAATAACTTTTCATATTTTTTGAACAAAACAAATATCTTACATTCAAAACTCATGAATATTTTTATATGTCAATTTATATTTCCTGGCCGAATTACTTAACTTAACAATACTTAATGTTATTTAACTGTATACCCACAAGTGTCTTTAAATACTTTTTTACGCGTCAATTTAAGATTTTAGTTATCAAAATTATACTGTAATAAATCCATGCATCTAAGCTCATAACAGATATATTTGATATGTGTAAAATTAATAAATCTTTGCGTAAAGTTTATAAAATTTCATTGCATATTAAATGTATATTTTTTTTTGTTATTAAAAATATATTAACTTGATGTGTCAATTGTTGTAATAAAGCAATAATTACAATATTACACATTACATATTATTTTATCTACTATATGAAGGTATATTACTAAAATATAGAGAATTATATTGTTATTTAATAATCTGTCGATAATTTACATTTTAATAACTTGGTCACATAGACCAACGTAACTTAAATATATCAAATAATTTTTTACTAAACTACTTTGACGTCAGAATAATACAAGACATTAATATAAAGAATTAATTTAAATATAAACTTATATATGTAATAACCTTAAGACACATAGATAATGTGTTACATGCACACTTTATTTAAAAAATACTAGATAAAGAAGTTGTTATAGAGCATTTGATTTCATCTCATCCTTCAAAGGGAATTTGTTAATTTACTCTGTTTTTCTGAATAAAATCGTTACATGATTTTAGTAACAGAAAATACTAACAGAACTAATTCCTTTTTTATAGTCAAATATTTGTAGTAAAATACATAAATCGTTTTTACATCAATTAATTATAATAGTTAGTTTTCATTTAATATTATAATGAAATATGTTAATACTAAGGCATGATTTAACAAATTAAAAATTTTAGTGATTCACCAGAGATTTTATATTAAATTAGATTCAATATGGAATCAATGATATATGATTCGCATTAGATAAGTTTTTATTATAAATGAAATTTACTGCAACAT